TTGTTATGATTGTGGTTGTTGAGCTGATAGTATCTATGGGCAAACTTCAATGAAATGAGAGTTTAATTGATTATATATTGTCTTTTATTGCAACATCTGTTATATATTGTATACAAACTTTTTATATGTATATTATAGATGGTATTCTTATATTAGATAGTATTCTTATATTAGATGGTAGGATGGTTGAATATGGATAGATGGATGAACGAATTGGATTTGCTATTCCGAGGTTGTAGTAAAAACTGGGTTGAGTGAGCATTGCATACGCTGTTTTTGGGACACATTTCCAAGATGGTGTCTATTTCGTCCCTTAAACAGTTCCAAAATGCATTGCAATGCCAACTCGACCCAGTTTTTTCCACAATCTCGGTATAGCTAATAGATGATTGAATGGAGGATTTTTGAAGGGCAGTACGATTGGTGGATTGAGAGCAAGAAACCATACATCAGGATCTATGTGTGGCTGGGTGGGTAGGTAGATGCGTATGAAACGTAAAGTATAATGCATAGATGGAATGATGGGAAGGATGGGAAGGATGGATGTAATGTAGTAGCGTAGCGAGTAAGGGGGGGGGGGCGACCACCCCCAAAAAGTATACTGAAGCTGTGGATATGGCGGGAAACTCAAAAGATGAGACACGTCCGCGTGCGTTTTGGCAGGAAATTGGTACGTTGCTCTCCCTATGACCGAGACCTCGCTACGCTCCTGATGTAATGGTTATAACCGGGGAGGGGGAAGGGAGGGCTATAAGAGGAAGGATATTTGCGTTAGCAGATTGGTAGGCTTATAAGCAGGGGGGTGAGTGAGGGGTTTACGACTGAGGCCTTAAAACTGGGTTTTTATGATAACTTTGTATTTCACATGCATGTTTATGAAACTTGTATTCTTTATTACAAAGGCTGGAATGTAATTTGGAATCGTATATCGTTCAGGATAGAACATCTAAAGTACTTTTTGTAGTTAGCTTACCATGCCAATTTTTGCAATGTGTAGTGCTCTTGCCACTGTTCTTTGTCTCTGTACACGATTTGAAACCAGTCCAAAAAGTTTAATTTTTTTATGGGTCTACCAATATCGATAATTATATTTTTATATTCATATAGACCTCTTGCATGTGAAGTCAAAGCCGTATCCATTTGGGGGACAGAACATAAGAGTTTCAATCTCCTAAGAATTAAAAATCTATGTTGTTTAGTATCCCCCAGATTGAGCTGCATTCCAAAGTTCTGCAAGGAGTCCATACGACTCCCTAATAAACGACCAGAGCATGACGTGTTTCAGTTTTATAACATGCGTCATTCCCTTGAGTATTCTATTTTTGTTCACTAGTAAGGCTGGAGTAGATTCCTTGATGTGAATTTAACTACTGTACTATGTAAAATCTGGTCAAGGAATTGACACGTGGTCTGAAAACGAAACATTATTGTGTTCCTATGTTATATTATGCATGTATGAAACACTTCAAGTTTCAAGTTTTCAAGTTTATTTTTACAAAATAATGACTATATATACACAGTTTATCACCCTCCCGCAAATTGCATAAAGCTAATCTAGGCGGGAGGCGATATATTACATTAAATAAATATTAGAAGATTTACAAATAAAATATGACGATAAATAAATGAAAAACTAACAGTTTACTTAAAATAAAGAAACGAAAAGGGAAAAAAAAGGAGAAAAAGGAAAAATGATATTAACCAAGTATTGAAAATCAAGAAATAATTATTTATAAATAGTCGCAATATATAAAGACTCAGTCCGAGACGTTCAAAGTATAATGTAGTCTGTCTACAATAGTGGAAGTGTCAACATAGCTATCTTCTCTTAGGAGAAAATCAGATAGTGTTTTACGTAAT